GTATTATAGTGGCCGTGATTTCGAATCTTGCCTTGCGTGTTATGTGTTCGTAATACGTCTTAATTGATACATAAGGATTAAAATTACATTTACATAAAGTTGTGCGAGTGTTGTTGCTGTAGAACTCGCGATTTAATTATGAAACGTGTGATTTGTACACATACAACTACTATAATATTGATTGATGTGACAAGTTATGGGGTGTTTTAAACTGTAGATTTGAATAACTATATGGAATACTTTCGTTAAATAATACCACAAGTTTAGTGTGTTGCGAACAGAATTGAGTAAGTGTGTAACGCATTCTGATCAATGATTTCTGATGTATATCACGTAGTCAAGTTGGTTGAGCAATTTAAGTGAATAGTGGTGGAAACTCAGCTTTGGACTATTTGTTTTTTCGAAATATATAATGTAACAATAATTGTGTTAATCAAGCATTTGGTTAGAAATTTGTTGATATATACAGTTTCAAAAATAGTTTACATAAAAAGAGTAAAGTTATTTAAATACATAACTTTTCATTCATGTATCCTAAAAATGCAACGTCTTGAAAATGCGCAATAGTGTTTCTGCCTTTCCTGGGAATCTATTCAATACCAGTGATCATAAATAAACTTTGTGAGATACAGGTATCGTACCAACGTGCAAAGGATCAACACTTATCTGTCGGGCAAGGTAGTCGTATCCATAGAAAACAAGGCAACGTCCTTAGCAACCAACCAAAAAACATTTTGGGAGAACAAAAACATAACTGAAACTACACTAGTGTTAAGATGCTCGTTTGATGCCTATCAAACTATAGAAGCCAGTTTAGAATCACATATTTTCATATTTTGTTGACCAATGAATCTAATCTATGGTAACAATATGTTTTGGGGTGTAGCCATAGTAATTATTGGCATATTCATAGCAACATGGTTCATCAGCCTAATGGCTGCTTGTAACTAATTATGATGGTGTCCTTGTCCATTGATACACGTGACAGGTTTAATAATTGGAAACATCAACATCTGCTTCCGAGTAACAGAGTCAATGGCACTGGCATGTAAATGTGCAAACTCACAGGGGCTCTGTGTGACCCGCATTGCGCACACGCCCCAAAGTCTAGGTCAGCATATATCTCCCCCGTTGAGCATTATTAGAACAACAATTTGCATTGACATCAAATCACAGTTGGAACCCAAAATAACGAACACACATTTGTGTGGCTGCCTTATAATTATGGAACAGTAACCCCTAGCAACAATGGTGTTATCCGTGTTACTATAAGCGACTCCGAATAGAATGTGCGCACCTATGTTGTAACAACGTGTGTCCGATAAGGTCGGTACTTTTGTGTACCGTATGAACCGCTGGGTTAACTGTTTGCTGAGTGTGCAGATGGGCAATTGTCCTATTCTTAAATTTGAACAGTACGTTATAGAAAATTTGAATAACCAATGTGACGCAACATTGATGTGTTTGCTGTTTATCGTACTATATTGTTCCAGTGGACACATTTCGATTACCAGATTCGAATAAGTAATGAAATAAGTAGTATTAGTTGTATATTGCATATAGTATTAATTATTACATATATATTGCAGAATTCACAGAGGCATGTAAATTACACAAATAATGAATAAATTCGTTGTTACGAGTAATATAAAATAGTGTCTACGTCATACAACTATTACATTGAAATAGTTTGACAATATGTTCCACTTACGTGTTGTAGAGTCTATGTCTTTTTTTTTTAAATGTGAAAGATCTAAATTCGGCTGTACAATAACATTGTTGATTACAATTTGAATGTCGCACATATTTTAAATAAGATATTATTCATCATAAACACTTAATAAGTGGATACGTATGTTTGTAATATTTGCATTCAAAGCGACAGCTCCGACATCTGTCTCTTCCGGATTGTCTAAGTATAAATTGCAAGTACGAGTTGCGATGGTGTATACCAGTGCATGTTACCACTGACACATACGCCACGCTTGGACTACGTGACAAGTTTGCGTAACCATTTTCATATCATACTAACAGCGTGTAAATTCAGTCTGCTTTCCTAGCTCCAAAGGTTCGGTATAACACAAGCACATATGGGCCTTAACAGAGGTTCAACCAAAGTCGTAATTCTCGAATAATCTAAATGGTTTAAAGGTCTCCGTGTCGGTATATCGGGCCTTTTTTGGGTGGTCACCCCGGGCAGAACTCCGACTGGTGCGCTATCTACCGTTTATGTGCTATAACGACTGTGCAGCTGGCGATCGATTGATTATTGTTACCGTAGCGTCAAGGAGAAAACGTCTATAACACGCAGTCCAAACGTCGTGTTTTCCATGATTTCTGGGAGGCTACGCATTGATTGAAATTCCGATGTTTATTTTAAAACTCGAAAACATATTGTGTCCATAAAATCATAATAAAATAAAATTAAATTAAAAATAATAAACCCCATGGCTTGAAACTAATAACAAGTAATTCATAAGAATTCTGTCTTTAACAAAGATGGGACAAAAGAGATTAGAAAATACCGATAAAATTGACATTAAAACATTTACACGGATAAGCAAGTACTTTAAACACGCCCGCAAACATTTATATTGTCAACGTATCCTTGTGTTCTCGTACTCGTGCTTTTGTTATTTTGTTCAACTCAATATTCATTTAACTGGGAGTTTCAGTGACCACGCATTGCTTGTGTAAAAGAAAGATTATGCATTCGTTTCACCCAAATTGAAATAATGCCCCCTCATCCTCGTCCGCCAACATTTTTATTCCGTGATTACGAAATGCGTAAACTGACTTCACACTATAGTTATCGTACATTTGTTGGTTAGTTTGTACAGTAAGTTTTGAATTTAGCATAAAAATAAGATTAAATCAATTTCAGACTATAATTTATGCAGTTTCTAACCACAGACATATACTGACAAGGTGATCATTAATCATGTATTGATTATTACCGATATAAATGTCATGCATCAATCCTTCTACACTCTCCCTATACGCACAGTCTCAGTTTGTTGTTCGTACTTTTAACGGGAAGGATTTTTATTCAACAAGAGATATGGTAATTTCTCTTTACATCACAGTTAAACCAGTATTAGATTAGAATCAGTTTTAGAATAGATCAAAGTTGTCTGAAAATTTCTTTCCAGGAAATAGGTGTATATATACACAGTGAATAAGTCGGTCGTTTTCACTAATCAGTTTTCCACCTACGCGAACTGTCACGTTTTTCGTTTGATTACACCGATTCAGTCGATTGATGAACTCCGAGTGCAAAAGATAAACATGAACTAATCTACACTGGTGTCTGTACATAACTTCACAAAACACTTAAAATAGTATGGACAATTCAAACACACGCGTAGTGATTGAAATAACTTGTAGTACACATATGTTTACCAGTGTTCGCTGTAAGAATAAAAGGGCCGCTTGAATACAAGTGTGCATAATGAGTGGATAGCACCACTGCAATACACCGTACCTTTCTATAAATCACGCCCTCTGAAGACGAGTTTTTTTCTATGACGTAACTAGATGGACGGTACGCCGTTGATTTCGTTGATATTATTCTGATATCCAGTCGCCCGTAAATAAAACGTCCTGGTCTTATTTCATCTACTGTAAATAGCGAACGACCACACAACCAACCAGAGTTGCCAATTTAAACCAAATCACTTACCCCCAGCTACTACGTCATTTAGACGTCACATGCGAGACTCGTCACTGGAGGGCGGTGTGTATTCATTTTCATCACGCTTTTCGTGCATGTGATTTCAAAAAACATCAGTCGTTTCAAGGTAC